CCTGCCGGCGGCTGTTCTCCTCTGCAGCCCCGGCCACCATCAGTCACGCGGCCAGCGCTTACACGGCCTAACCTCGGCAATGAATCAGCGCGGCCGGCGCGCCCATGGGACGGACTCCCACCGGCACGCGTTGAGAGGCTCACCTGGAAACGGTGAGAGGCTCACCTGGTCACGGTGAGAGGCTCCCACCTGACACTGATCACGGTGAGAGACTCACCGGCACACGGTGAGAGGCTCACCGGGATACGGTGAGAGGCTCACCTGGTCACGGTGAGAGGCTCCCACCGACACACGGTGAGAGGCTCACCAGGATACGGTGAGAGGCTCACCTGGTCACGGTGAGAGGCTCCCACCTGCTCACGGTGAGAGGCTCACCGGCACACGGTGAGTGGCTCACCTGGATGGATACGGTGAGAGGCTCACCTGGTCACGGTAAGAGGCTCCCACCTGCTCACGGTGAGAGGCTCACCGGCACACGGTGAGAGGCTCCCACCGGCACACGGTGAGAGGCTCACCTGGACACGGTGAGAGGCTCACCTGGTTACGGTGAGAGGCTCACTGGGGCATGGTGAGAGACTCAGCTGGACATTGCGAGAGGATCACAGGGACACAGTGAGAAGCCCACCGGGGCACGGTGAGCGGCTCCCCGGGACCCTGCGTGATCGTCGACGGACATCGCTGGAATATCACCGCGATGCAAACGTAAATTGCGGGAATGTGGCCGAGGCACGACTGCAGACCACGGACCGAACGTATCCCAGAACAGCGAGAGAATCCTTTCACGGAACGCAGAGCAAAGCTGCTCCGAGGCGCCGGATGAGAGCACCCAGCACCTGACCGGCCGGGTGCTGCTGACTTGCCCGGAGCCACGACACCCAGCTGTCACCCAGCACCTGACCGGCCGGAGCTGCTGACTTGCCCAGAGCCACGGCACCCAGCTGTCACCCAGCGCCTGACCGGCCGGAGCTGCTGACTTGCCCGGAGCCACGTCATCCAGCTGTCACCCAGCGCCTGACCGGCCGGAGCTGCTGACTTGCCCGGAGCCACGTCACCCAGTTCTCACCCAGCACCTGACCGGCCGGAGCTGCTGACTTGCCCGGAGCCACGGCACCCAGCTGTCACCCAGCGCCTGACCGGCCGGTGCTGCTGACTTGCCCAGAGCCACGGCACCCAGCTGTCACCCAGCGCCTGACCGGCCGGAGCTGCTGACTTGCCCAGAGCCACGGCATCCGGCGCTCACCCAGCACCTGACCGGCCGGTGCTGCTGACTTGCCCAGAGCCACGGCACCTAGCTGACACCCAGCGCCTGACCGGCCGGAGCTGCTGACTTGCCCGGAGCCACGTCACCCAGTTCTCACCCAGCACACAGTATCATGCATCCATCCCGAGAGTCGCGCTCTGGCCGCGGATGCTGGGCTGCCAGCTCGCCGGCGGGCTGGTGACGGGCCTCTCGGCTGGCAACGGTCGGCGCACCGGCTGGTCACCCTTCCCTGTCAGGCACCGTTAGCGGTCCCGGCGCCCACCGTTCTGAGTACGCAGCGGCCGGACAGGCGACTGGTTCGGCGGTGGATGACGTCAGCCGGCGGGGGTCTCACCGTAGGGGGGGGGGGGGAGGCGGGGGCCTGAAAACGGGAGACCCGAGAAATACAGCCCGTGGTTACACTGAGGCTGGGAAGACATGCCATCGCAGTGACGCGTACCGAACAATGGTTTTATATTTCGTCATTTTACGGCACGAAGACCTTACACGGCACCATACCATGTCAGCTAGTTCCGCAGTTTGCAACTTATGTCGCTCACATGCACGAAAAAAGGAAAAGGAGGAAGGGCAGAGTGGAGCGGGGAGGTACACGACACAAGCCAGCGCCCGGGCCAGCACATCGCCGTGCCAAGTCTCCCCTCCCCCCCCCCCCCCACGACATGCGCCCCGTCAGTCGGCGATCGTACGACCGAAAAACCGACCGTTTGCAAGAGTTATGGGCCCATTGTTGCTCTGATGACGCGCGTTATTAGCTGTGCCAACAGCGCCGGTGGGCGATGAGGGCACCGATCCGTGGCCGATCGGCCAATGGACCGGCCGCCGCGTGGGCCAACAGGAACGACCAATGGACCGGCCGCCACGTGGGCCAACAGAAACGGCCAATGGACCGGCCGCCACGTGGGCCAACAGAAACGGCCAATGGACCGGCCGCCACGTAGGCCAACAGCAACGAGCTGCGATGCCAACGGCTGAACGTTGAGAACCTAGTCAGCTGAGCTCCTGCTGAGGTGGAAAACGCGGGGTAAAATGGGACATATTTCGGCTGACGAGGTGGAGTGAGCAACACCAGTCTGGACTGGAGCCGCTTGTCCGACAACGGGTGGTAACAAGAACTGCTTGGTAATGCCTTTTGTAACCCCAACCTCTACCGCATTTATGCAACACTTCTTGGCGTCCAAACATGTACTCACGCCATGGTCCTCATGTCAATTCATGCAATGCATAATGCTGATGGTGGCTCTCATGCATTTTTATTGCTATAAACAAAAGGACCACAGGTCCCTTATCAACAGCGTTGCGAAGCGGCGCCCTTGGGGACGCGGTGCCCCGCGAGCTACTCCCGGCGTTGAGAGCGCGCCGGGGGCTAGCTCGCTTCCGCAGCGTCGGTGCTGGCTCGCTTCCGCAGCGTGACGTGAGATGCCCGCCGGCGACGGCCGGTGCGCCTCCAGAGCGAGGTGAGCCCGCTCATGAGCCGTCTGCGCTGCTCTGCCCCGCCACAGCCACCGGCTCGACCGGCTCGCTCTGACCCAGTTGCGGGACGTATGGCTCCGGCAGGCGGCGCCAAAATCTCCATATCAATTATCGCCGGGGTTACAGGTTATTTAACACCGCGTTACGGATCATTTTTCCTTATTACCGCCCGCGACGTGATTAGAAACTGAGCAGGCAACTTGAGGCGCCCCCGCCTGAGGCAGCATTACGCTGGTCGTCGGCACTCCCCAAGGTCAGGATGACTCGGGATGGAGGTCAGGATGGGACTGGAAGGCAGGAAGATGACAGGGACGAAGCATGCAATACTGTCGTAAACAACATGGAAGGACAGAGCAGATATTTCCATCCCTGTTGACGTAACTCCGCGTTCAGAAGGATACAGCCTCATGCCATGCTGTGAGGTGTCTACATTAGTAAATGCGCGTGTTACAGTGGCACTGGGACCACGCTGTCGATACCGAGACAGCTGGTCTTGCTCGGTGGGGACCCTCACCAGCGCGTGAGCGTTGGAGCCAGTGCGGGCTGACAGGAGGCCGAGATTAACGAGCTCGGTTGGCTCTGGCGATTGACGAATGGAACGTCAATCATTACCTACACCCGTATTTTCTCCTCCGTGTGCATGAATAATCGGACCGAGCCATTTCTAGGAATCCGGCGGCGGGAGCGGGAGGACGTGACGCTGCGCAAAGGTCGCGAACGTCCTCCTCTGGGCCAGAGCAGGCCCGATATTACCGGGAACTCTATGACAGATCCCGGCCCTGACACAAACAGCTTTCACAAACATCTTGCCGAAAACCAAACCGCAACCACCAGCGCTGCTTTTTTATCTCTAGTCCTGCTTGTCAGCAAATTGCATGTGATCCTTTCGAAGAGAATTGCGACCCCGAAAGTCGGGGATACCCGCAAGATCGAATGCATTCCGAGTTCGGATCCGTGCAAAATGTCAAGCTCTTGCACTTATTTTAGCCGGAGGATGGAAGTCGCATTTGGTTTAGTGGTGGGCACCAAAAGCAAAGCTAAAAAGTATGCAATTATACCATCATTATGCAAATGCTGGCGGCAAGCACAGTACTTCCGAATGCGACCATCAGCAGATGAAAAATGTGATTATATCTGCGACTCATCTCAAATATTGCTACGCCAGTAATTATGACAATTTCACTACACGAAACTGGTCCGCTGGAAGAGTCCACTGCGACACACGGTGACGTGACTGAGGCACCGCTCCCCGGAACTGGCCGCAGGCACTCAAGGCTCGACCACAAAGCTAATGAAATGTCATTACCAGAAAGGGAATAGCGACAGTGGGATATACGTTGCGATTGTGGATATGGGTAAATGGGTGCAGAGAAGAATGATGCAGGAAGAAAAGATAAGAGGATTTCACCAACCATGCGTCTAATCATTAAGTCCGTAGACATTTCACATGTCTGGCATGTGCTTTAGGCAGGCAGACAAGATAAAATGCAGATGAAGTCTCGCCGAAGACAAGTGACAAGGGGGCCTATTTCTAGTACACAGCACCGTTATTCAATTAAGTAAGACCAGCCTTCATGTCAAATGTCAGTATTGTTTATAATACTGGCTATTTTATCATGCCCAAATTTATCAGCAGACCGCAACTAGTTTAAGTAACACCTGTACAGTCCTTAGCAGAACAGCATAAAACAACGCTGACGCCCCCACTCATGTCATCAAATAATGGCAAAGAGTCAATGTCCAATGTACCCGTACGCACATTCACAAGTGTCCCAGCAGGTCAGCACTTATTCCAAGGCTTAGTTTGCGGGGTCAAACCGTGCTAGTTTCTGGGCCTGGAGTGGAGCCGAGCGCCAGGGTATTTTATTCCGTATTAAAAATGACCTGATTACGCATCGTTGTGCTCAAAATGAAACCCCACATACGGAAAGGCAAAGTGCAAGCCGTGCTCCAATCATTTCATCTAAGCATGGGTGTCGTAGCACAAAACATTTTAACCTAAATGCATAACGTAATGTAACGCACAGCCTTGGCGTATTGCCTTGTAGGGGAATTGAACATTCAATTTTTTTCAATAATAAGTAACAATCAGAATGGATATGTGATTGGCAAATTCTCCTAACATTCAGGTGGATTAAACATCGAGGCAGGGGTCGAGTATGCCATATCATTAGCGTGGCATGGCAAAGACAACTGTGCATTAAAATGCGAGCAAAATCGGAAGCATTTATTGACAGCCCACCCATTTCCATGTTTTTGGTTGTTAGCGAAGTGTTGCACACATTCTTTCAATCAAATGCCTAAGACTTAAAATAACAAAGGCATGCCTTCCGCCCCCCCCCCCCCGTTTTCCGGCATTTTTGGTTGAAAGCTCTTGTGATGATTTAACGACCTTAGATACACTATAAGGTATTAGTTAAACGACGCTGTAATGCTCGATGACGATTACATTGACAGTAATTAATAACGTTTCGAGCACATAAATATCTCGAGCAGTTCCCACTCCGAAGCGTGAGAAGGGCTCATAGCGGTTTAGCGAAATATAACATAAGAAAAATAAGGCATGTGAATTCAGGAAATGCCCCCAATCTGCGTACACACTGGCACTCATAGATGTCCAAAAAATATAAGTCATCTAAGCTCCCCCATTATCACGAACACATTTCAACCTTAACTACTGTAAAAAACAAAGCAGGTCGGGCCAAGACGGAAGTTT